GGTATGGCAAAAGTAGGTTTACAGTTGTTTGTGCATGAAACAGTTTATTTTTTAAAAAATATATTTTATTGATTTTTTTACAGAGAGGAAGGGAGAGGGACAGAGAGTTAGAAACATCGATGAGAGAGAAACATCGATCAGCTGCCTCCTGCACAAGGGGATGTGCCTGCAACCAAGGTACATGCCCTTGACCGGAATCGAATCTGGGACCCTTCAGTCCGCAGGCTGACGCTCTATCCACTGAACCAAACCGATCAGGGCGAAACAGTTTATTCTTGTATTGTTAATTATTGGATTATTTTCCATACAAACAACTGTAAACCTACTTTTTCCCCACCCTGTATTTATCTTTGCAAAAACATTATTTTATATTTTTGGAAAGTAAGAAACCCAGTGCTTATATGATTCCATCTCTTAGTCCTGGGTTCAAATTTCTAATGTAAATTAATTTCTTTTTTTATGAACCATTGTTTGATATGTAGTTGACCAGCTTACTAATAGGTTTCAGAAATTCCTATAATTTTGCTAATGAAATAGTATTGTTGTGTTAGGTTGATTTAAAAAGAAAATATATTGCTCAGCCAGTGTTGCTCAGTGGTTGAGCATAGACCTATGAACCAAGGTCAGGGTTCAATTCCTGGTCAAGGCACATGCCCGGGTTGTGGGCTCAAACTCAAATGGGGGTGTGCATGAGGCAGCCAATCAGTGATTCTTTCTCATCATTGATGTTTCTCTATCTCTCGCTCTCCCTTCCTCTCTGAAATCAATAAAATATTTTAAAAAATAAATATTATTTATCATTGTTTATAATAGCATTACTTATAGTAGCAAGAGATTGGTGTTGTTAGTTTGTGGTATATTCATAAAGTGAAATACTATGTACACATTAAAAAAAATAATTACAAAGCTCTTCATGCAAAGGTGTGACGTGATCTCCAAAATATGTCAAGTACGAAAAGCAATGCAAAATAGTGTGTATATGCTGCCATTTATGTAAAAAAACAAAAGGGTAATGTAAAATGAGAACAAATGCACATATCTGCATATGTATACATAAATTAGCTTTGTAAAGACACCAGGAAACTAGTTATACTGGTTGCCTGAAGAAAAGGGGTAAGAGGCACTGTGTATCCTTTTGTAGCTTTTAAATTTTAAGCCATGTAAATGTATTACCTTTTTAAAAATAGTAAAAACAAATAAAATTAAAACAAATATATAACCAATGGCTAGACCAGGTTGTGATTTTTTGCAAATAGTGATAACCTTCAAAATTATTTTTAAAGAATATTGTTGAAAATTTTGTTTTGTTAATGTTGTATTACTGATACTAGTTAGAACAGTGGTTCTCAACCTTCCTAATGCCGCGACCCTTTAATACAGTTCCTCATGTTGTGGTGACACCCAACCATAAAATTATTTTCGTTGCTACTTCATAACTGTAATTTTGCTACTGTTATGAATCGTAATGTAAATATCTGATATGCAGGATGTATTTTCATGGTTACAAATTGAACATAATTAAAGCATAGTGATTAATCACAAAAACAATATGTAATTATATATGTGCTTTCTGATGGTCTTAGGCGACCCCTGTGAAAGGGTCATTCGACCCCCAAAGGGGTCGTGTCCCACAGGTTGAGAACCGCTGAGTTAGAACTTGTATCAGTGTGGTCTTATGTTTGATGTGCTTTTTTCCTTCATTATAGAAATAACTAGAGGCCTGGTGCACAGATTCATGCTCTGGTTGGGTCCCTTGTCCTGGCCTTCGAGGATCAGGACGAAACCAGCAGTCCGACATCCCCCGAGGGGTCCTGGATTGCGAGAGGGCACAGGATAGGCTGAGGGACCCCACCGGTGCACGAATCCATGCACTGGGCCTCTAGTATGCATATAAGATATTTGGTTAATCTCTTCCTGCCCTCCCCTTTCCCCCCTTCCCTCTGAGATTCATCAGTCTGTCCCATGTTTCTGCTCCCATAGTTACCGGCTGGTCAGCTGGTCACTTAGGCTTTTATATATATAGATAGATTGTTTATGGGATGGATCTTAACATTTGTCATGAAAATGAAGTCCTTGTGTAAAGTAAGCTAATTTAACCTTTGGGAATTATATATTTGACCACTTTGAGTCTCCATTAAATACTTAATTAAAAAATAATGTTAAGAGCATCAACAGGTTTGTGTTTCAGTTCTGCCACTTAGTAGCTTGCAACTTTGGGCAAGTAAGCCAACTTCTTCAGCTTTTTAATGAAGATAGTAATTGTACCTACTTCATAGGCTTTCTGTGAGGATTAAATAAGGTAATTTTATTGGTTAACTTCTGTAGTACCACTGTGTGCCAAACATTATTCAAAGCATTTTACATATATGAATTATTTTAATCCTCATAGCAACCTTATAATGTAGGTAGGTATAATAATTATGCCCATTTTATGCTTGAGGAAATCAAGGCTAGTGCAGAGCCAAGGTTCAAATCCAGGCACTCAGGTTCCAGACTCTATTCTTTGACCATGATGCTGTGTTGAACACTTAGCTCTCTGATGGCATATTCACATTGTGAAACTTCAACAAATTTCAATAATAAATGTAAGCTAATAATCAGTGTTACTATACAGAGATTACATATTCATCTAGAAAATACACCTAAACGAAGTCAAAGAAAAATATAGATATCTTCAACTTAACCCGTCAGAAAATAAAAATGTTGTATTTATATACATACTAGAGGTCCGGTGCACGAAATTCATGCATGGGTCGGTTCCCTAGGCCTGGCCGGCAATCGGGGCCTTCCAGCTGCCAGCCAGGGCCTTCCTTTGCTCCGCGCCAACCCCTGGTGGTCATTGCATGTCGTAGCGATCAGTCTCTTGGTTGAATTCCCATGGGGACACTTTGCATACTAGCCTTTTATATATATATATATTAATATACTTCAAGAAAGTAAAAATGGTAATATTTTATAACCTGTTTTGTTCATGTGTCAATATAGCATGAATTTCTTGTTGCTTAATTTGATTTGTTACCTCCTGTATTATATAAAATGGGTTAAGACACTGTATTTCTTGCCTTCACTCTCTAGATTTGGCATTCTTTTGGAAGTGGGCTAAGGAATTCTTTTGAAACTTAGGGTTCAAAGTCATTTTATTGATGTAAAAATGGTATTGTGGAGTGTGAATTAATAAGTAATTTAAATCCCTGCCTATATGTAACCTTAGGACTCTTACAAAGGAATTCCTTATTGATGTTGGCAACAGAAAACTTTGGCTACAGGGATTTTCAGGAGAAAAAGTCAATCACTGGCCACAGATAAATGGGGTGTGTGTGTTTCTTGTTTGATTGTTTTTTTTTCCCCAACAGACTTTATAGCCAATTCTGGGTATACTTTTGAAATACCAAAATTTATAGTTTACAAATATAAAGCAGAATATAAGGATGTAATTGTAAGGAGATACAAAGATGCATAAGGCATGGCTCTTGTTAACTTGGATGCCATAATAGAATCAGCATATGTTGTGAAATGACCTTAACTGTTGTCATGGCAATACAGAATGCTATGAAAGTTTCTAAACTTATAGTCCTCAAATCCTGATCATCCTATATCAGCAATAAAAAAAATGTTCATATTCAGGGATGGAAAGCATTATAACCCCAAATGTGGCCCCCTGGTTTACACATTCCTTTAGGGATCTCTCTCCAGTCATTCCTCCACCCATGTACAGCACTGCCCCAAATCTGGACCCATTACCCTCCACTTTTTTCCCCAAAGCCTTGCCAAAACTAGGCTCTGATTACTTAAACATGTCTTTTCTAAAAGCTTGGAAATTCCAAGAAGAAAATAAACAGAAATAATTACCAACTAGGTAATCTGAGTCACTTGCTATAGCTTTATTCTCTTGGCCCTGTAGACTCTGTCTCATTTTCACAGAATCTTGGAAGAAAATAAGGAGCTCACAGTTCTCGAGGGCTGCTGTTTACAACCTCTGGCCTTCTCTACCAATGCACATCTCCAATCACAGCTTGACTTTTTGAAATCCAAGGCCAAGGAAGAAGAAAACATTCTCTTTCTCTTTAAACTACAGGCATTTTCCAGCTATCACTTCATGTGCTATTCTTTCTCTATGACTGTGGAGACCTTACTGGAGAATTTCCTTAACATGACAACCACATCAAAATATAATTCATTAAGATGAACATTTTTACCTAAAATAGAATCAGGGCATGATTTGCTTAAAGGCCTTAAAAGTCATGAACAAAAAGATGATTGACATTTTAGTGATGACTTTGAAAACTCCAGTTTCCATTTATATATGTTTAACACTCCCAGGGGATCTTTTTAGATCCAGCAAAATATTCAGGTTCATAAAACTACCACAAACCTTACTTGCCCTCCATCTACTTAGAAGGAGACTGTCCAGGAAGGGCAGCACCAGGCAACCCTTTTCACTGGCATTGTCCTCACAGGAGTGCATACACCAGAGGTTTGCTGCCTCACCTCCCTTTCATTCATCCCCTCCAAGTCAAAGTTTAGGTACAAGGAAACAATATCCACATAGGGTACATTAGGGAGCCACCCTGGCTTAGAATTCCCATGTATCACAAGCAACAATATCTCTTGTAAAACTTTCTTGGCATAGTTTCCAGACATCCCTTATGAGTCACTGCACTCAGAGAAGCCCTAAGCTATAGCTTCCTGCCAGGTAATTGTGCAACTTTTACCATAAGCAACGTTGCCTAATAACACAGCTGATATTCACCTTAGCTTTGCAGAGCAACAGAGCTAGAAAGTTAATCCAAGGTCACCCTTGTCTTTAAAGAAGTAGAGAGAGTTTGTTTACTCTTTATCCACAACTTTTCAAACATCTTTACAAAGATGATTGTGTTTTCAAATATGCCTGAGATAAATGGTTTTGAAGTAACTTCATAAATCTTCTGACCTATATATCCTTTTTGATATGTGATAAATTTTAGCTTTTCTTCCTCTGACTGTTTTTCCTTTTTTGATAGGTCAAATCAAATATTCTGAACAGGTGTATGATGCGTGTATGGATACATTTGACTGTCTCCCTCTCGCGGCCCTCTTAAATCAGCAGTTTCTGTGTGTACATGGAGGGATGTCACCTGAAATTACTTGTTTAGATGACATTAGTAAAGTAAGTAATCTTTCATTATTCTCATGGGTGTTATATATATATATATATATATATATATATATACACACACACACACACACACACAATATATATATATATATATATGCATGTGTGTGTATATATACATATATATATATATATATATATATATATATATGTATATATACACACATACATATACTAGAGGCCCAGTGCACGAAATTTGTGCATAGGGTGGGGGTCCCCCAACCCGACCTGCACCCTCTCCAATCTGGGACCCCTTGAGGGATGTCCCACTGCCGGTCCTAAACCAGCAGTCAGACATCCCTCTCGCAATCCGGGACCGCTGGCTCCTAACTGCTCGCCTGCCTGCCTGCCTGATCGCCCCTAACCACCTCTGCCTGCCGACCTGATCGCCCCCTAACTGCCCTCCCCTGCCGGCCTGATTGCCCCTAACTGCCTCTGCCTCGGCCCCTGCCACTGTGGCTTTGTCTGGAAGATGTCCAGTCTAATTAGCATATTACCCTTTTATTAGTATAGATATTTTTTTAAATCTTGATTTTTATTGCAGTCAACTAATATGTTTATTGCTGAATATTTTTAAATACAAATCATCAGAAGTAACCAAATGGAAATCACCTGTGATTTAATTATTGAGAGAGAACTCCGGTTGACATTTTGCTATATATCTTCCAGAAATTTTCTGTAATTTTAAATTAAATCTGTGCTTTTACCAACTAAAAACATAACATTTCTTAGTATATTCCTGAAACTAAATTTTGTAGCAGTGCATAAGGAAGAGAACCAGGGTTCTAATCCCTATCCTGCCATTTATCATGTAAGCTTGACCAAATCACGTAACCTCATAGTCACAGTTTCTTCTCTGAAATGAGGAAGTCAGAATGGAAGGTCTGAAGACTTCCAGCTCTGAAATTCATTGACATTTTTAGATGAAGAGTTTAAGTGTTGCACTTCCTGACGTGTGATTATTTCCAGGATTCTGTATCTTCATAATTGAAAAAAGATGACCAGTCTTTTTTTCACTTATATTGTTCTACATTACCATCATCTCTCCTCTACCTTTTTATTTTTCACCTCTCTCATATAAGTACTACAATTAAAGATGTTTCTGTTTATAAAACTGGTTACCTTCCCTCAGGGTAAGAGACGTGTCTGCTGCACTGCCTTTTTTGCTACTTCATTGTTTTTTAAATAAACAGCATTTAATAGTTCTGAATTGATTGTATTAATCAATTTCACTTAGTAGAAATTCTGTTCTTGGCACTCAGCTATTCTAGTTATTTCTTTTGGGATTTTTGTTTGTTTTTGTTTTTATGCTTTTAACAACAGCGGCAATGACTAAAGACATAAGTTAAGTAACTTACATTGAAATGCCTCCGCCGAGACCGGTTTGGCTCAGTGGATAGAGCATCGGCCTGTGGACTCTAGGGTCCCAGGTTCGATTCCGGTCAGGGGCATGTGCCTGGGTTGCGGGCACATCCCCAGTGGGAGATGTGCAGGAGGCAGCTGGTCGATGTTTCTCTCTCATCGATGTTTCTAACTCTCTATCTCTCTCCCTTCCTCTCTGTAAAAAATCAATAAAATATATTAAAAAAAAAAAAGAAATGCCTCCATTGCATAGGATGAAAACCTTAAACAAAATAAAACTAGCATGCTTTAAAATAAAGAAATCTCTATTGGAATGAGATAAACAATGAATAGAATCATTGTAAAATCCTTCCTGCTCTCATGGTTACATTGGCTCATCTAGGCAGTTGAAATGAACTTCTCACAGTCTTTCTAAATAATAGTATATCTCTATCGTGGTTTGGTTTTCCTTTCCAATTAAGTGCATACTACTTGTAAGATTAGCATTCGCATGTAAGTGGTTCTTTTCTACAGAATGGATAGATAACAGATATATTTATTTAGAAAATATAGGGTGGGCCCTAGCCAGCTTGGCTTAGCATCGGCCTGCGGACTGAAGGGTTCTGGGTTGGATTCCAGTCAAGGGCACATGCCTGGGTTGCGGGCTTGGTCCCCAATAGGAGGCATGCAGGAGGCAGCCAATCAATGATTCTCATCGTTGATGTTTCTATCTCTCTCTCCCTCTCCCTTCCTCTCTGAAATCAATAAAAATCTATCTAAAAAAAAGTGCAGGGTGGGCAAAAATAGGTTTATAGGGGATAGGTAAGCACCTTACTTACCTCCTCTCACAACCGCATTAAATTACAGCTAAGTGTCCATCAATAGATGAATGGATAAAGAAGTGGTACATGTATACAATGGAATATTACTCAGCCACAAAGAATGAAATCTTGTGTCCACCCGGCTGGTGTTGCTTAGTGGTTGAGCATTGACCCATGAACACAAGAGGTCACCAGTTCGATTCCTGGTTGGGGCACATGCCCGGGTTGTGGGCTTAAACCCCAGTAGGAGGTGTGCAGGAGGCAGCCCATCGATGACATTTCTCTTTCATCGATGTTTCTCTCTATCTCTTTCTCTTCCTCTCTCTCATAAAAAAAAATCAATAAAAACATTTTTTCAAACAAGGATGAAATCTTGCCATCTGCAACAACATAGATGGACCTCAAGAGAATTATGCTAAGTGAAATAAGTCACACAAAGAAAGGCAAATATCATTTCACTTATATGTGGAATCTGAAAAAACACACATGAATAAACAAAACAGAAACAAACTCATAGAAACTTATAGAGAAATTTCAATGATCACCAAATGAAAGGAGTGATTTGGGGACGTGTGAAAAAGGGGAAGGGATTAAGAGGTACAAATTGGTTGTTGCAAAATAGTCATAGGGATGTAAAGTACAGTATAAGTCAATAATATTGTGATAACTATATATGGTGTCAGATGGATATTAGATTTATTGGAATGATTACTTTGTAAATTATATAAATGTCTAACCACTATGTTACATACCTGAAACTAGTATAATATTGTATGTCAACTATAATTGAAAAATAAATTATTTTTAAATGAAGCAATGAATAAAATTAAAAAGTAGGTTTACAGTTGTGAGTACATGAAATAATTTATTCTTGTATTATTATTTATTAATTATTATATCATTTTTCATACAAACCTACTTTTGCCTGATCCTGTGTTATAAAAAATGATAGAAATTGTGTATCTAAATTTGTTAAATGTTCGTTTTCTTGGATGGAAGGATTTTTGTGTTTTTTCACCCATACCAATTTTCAAAAGCTCTTTTGCTTTCATGATTTTTCTTTTTTTGGCTTTTGCTTGTCTTCCAGTTAGACAGGTTTAAAGAACCTCCAGCCTTTGGGCCAGTGTGTGACCTGCTTTGGTCTGATCCCTTAGAGGACTACGGCAGCGAAAGGACCTTGGAGCACTATACCCACAACACTGTCCGGGGGTGCTCTTATTTTTACAGGTAAGCTGATCCTCAGAGTTACCAAGTTGGGAAAGGAAATGGCAATATGTTTAATCAAATTATTTTAAGTATTTTATATATTGAATTCATGGAGCATAGAGACTTCTGTTTAAATTTTTGATTAATAGAAGGCAGACGATTCTTGTTTGTTTCTTTTTTTGGTTATAGTTAGTAGGTTTAATGCCCTGATAAGTGTAATATACCAAACCTGATTGAGCAGTACTTTAATGTTGTTGTCTGACTCTAAATGATCTAGGTAATTTGTTGCCAAACATCATCTATAAACTTTTTTAAAAATGAAGACTCCTTGGCTCTTCCCCCAGACATTTTGATTCGGGAGTCCTCTTATTTTTTTAAAAAGCTCTCCAGCTTTTGGAACTACTGGTATAGGCAAAGATATAAAAAGAACAGAACATTGTGAACTCAGGACATTCCTGGAAGTTGGCTGTTATCTTAAATCTCATATGTAAGCTTTCATTGTGTGTTGCCACTCAAAAATAGGGAGATATAGCCCTAGTTGGTTTGGCTCAGTGGATAGAGTGTCGGCCTGCGGACTGAAGGGCTGTGGGTTCGATTCGATTCTGGTCAAGGGCATGTACCTCGGCTGCAGGCTCAATCATGGGTCGGGTTGCAACCAATTGATGTGTCTCACATCGATGTTTCTCTCTCTTCTCCCCCCAGTTCCACTCTCTCTATAAAAAAAAATCAATGGAAAAATATTCTCAGGTGAGGATTAACAAAAATAAACAAATAAAATAATAGAGAAATATAGGAAAATTTGAAGTCTAAATTTATATATACATATATATATATATATTGATTTCAGAGAGGAAAGGAGAGGGAGAGAAAGATAGAAACATCAATGATGAGAGAGAATCATTGATCAGCTGCCTCCTGCACCCACCCCACCAGGGATCAAGCCCACAACCCAGGCATGTGCCCTGACTGGGAATGGAAATGTGACCCCCTGATTCATAGGTCAGCACTCAGCCACTGAGCCATGACAGCTGGGTTGAAATCTAAATTTTTTTTATTGCAATATTTTATTATGACAAATAATACATGTATATAGTCCTCTAAAAATCTGTTAATTGCCTAAGATGATACACTAATTAAATGGAATCTACATACAAAAAGTAAGAAGCCATGCCCAGCTGGTTTGGCTCAGTGGATAGAGCATCGGCCTTGCGGACTGAAGGGTCCCAGGTTCTATTCTGGTCAAGGGCACATGCCCGGGTTGTGGGCTTGATCCCCAGTGTGAGGCATGTAGGAGGCAGCCGATCAATGATTGTCTCTCATCATTGATGTTTCTATCTGTCTCTCCCTCTCCCTTCCTCTCTGAAATCAATAAAAATATATTTTTTAAAAGTAAGAAGCCTCAATTTTACCATAGTTTTAACATTCTTTCCGCCAACTGTACCAGTGACTAATATGAAATCATTTAAATTTTACTTTTCTTTACATTGCTTAAAATACTTCTGTATTATTAATACAATAGAAATCACTACAATTTCTATGAAGGTCAACTTGGCAATATCTCTCAATTATAAATGCCTATGGCCTTTGATCCGGAAGTTCTACTTCAAAATCATAATCCTGTGGTTGTACTAGTATAATTGATCTTTATTATTCACAAATTCTAATTTGCAAATTTTTCTACTTGCTGTGATTTATTTGTAACCCCAAAATCAATACTCATAGCACTTTCACAGTCATTCGCAGACGTGGGTGCGTGCAGAGTGATGAAAAATCTGTCACCCCACCTGTGCTCGCGCTGAGGTTAGAATTATTAGGAGTTGCTCTGCCTTCTGTTTCAGCTCTCGTAGCTGTAAGCAGGTATTCTGTTTGTGGAGTATTTAACATTTTTCACGTTTTTGATTGGTTATTTTGCTGTTTAAAAGCAGCTCCAAGCACAGTGCCCAAGTGCTGTCTAGTGTTGCTAAGTGCCAGAAGGCTGTGATGTGCCTTACAGAGAAAAGACCTGTGTGCTCTAAGCTTGGTTCAGGCATGAATTATGGTGTTGTTGGCTATAAGTTCCATGCTCATGAATCAACAGTATATATTAAATAAGGCGTCTTTACTCAGAAACACACATAAAACAGTTTGATCAGTTGATGAAAATGTTGGGAGCAGAGGCTCACAGGACCCTGATTCTGTATTTCCCCTGGGAGCAGTATTCACTAATTCAGTTTTTGCAGCAACTTTACAGAACATAGGCAAGAAGAATAAGAAGAATCACTGTACTTGCAAATGTGTAAAATGCCTGTAATAAGGTTATTCATTACTCATTTTTTATTATAAAAGATTTAAAACAACCTGAATGTTCAGTAGGAAACTAGTTAAATAAATTGTAGTACATCCAGACAATGGAATGCACCAGACAATACAGTGAAGCTTTTTTTAAAAAATGAAAAAAGAGCCCTGGCAGGTTTGGCTCAGTGGATGGAGCATTGGCCTGTGGACTGAGTTCTGGGTTCGATTTCGGTCAAGGGCATATGTCAGGGTTGCAGGCTCGATCCCCAGTGGGGTCGTGCAGGAGGCAGCTGATCAGTGCTCAGTAATTCTCTCTCATTGTTGATGTTTCTTTTTTTTTCTTTTTGTTCATGGTTGATGTTTCTATCTCTCTTTCTCCCTCTCCTTTCCTCTCTGAAATCAATAAAAATAAATTTAAAAAAAATGAAAAAAGAAAACAACCCTTTGTAAACTGGTATAGAATAATCACTAAAGTGAAAAAAAGATACATGCAGCGCTCTGCTTACCATCTGATAATATTTCTTGAAGTTGGGGTGAGTGTGATGTCCATGTGTGTGGGGGTAATTGCTTGAAGTTGCATAGAGTGTCTGTGAAAGTGCACCCAAGGAAGCCAGGGACATGGGTTGCTTCTCTCTTCCAGGGCAGCTGAAAGGAAGTAGGGAGTAGAGAGGAGATCACCATCCCCTTTTTTATCTTTCAATTTTATGCCGTGTGAATGTACAACTTCTTTTAAAAGTTAATTTTTTCTAATTAGCACAATAAGAAAACAAAGATTTAAACATAAACTAAGTAATTAACAGTTGGATTATTCCAGGATAGTTTTGTATTCTCTAGTTCTTCTTGTCAGGTATTTGTCATTGAGAATGACAAATATTCTTTAATTAGAATAAGGTTGGATGTAATATTTGCATTTACATCTAAAATATTATTGCATTATATTATCTTAGTGTTGATATTACCTGTGAAGCTATAAGTAGGTTCTTTAGCTTTTCTAACAGTTTGACAATTTGAAAATTGAGTGTTCAGTTTTTAGCACCTACAAATACACACACACACACACACACACACACACACACAACCATGCTACTTTTTAACATATCAAAATAGCAAGAAAAGTTTTGGTGTGTTATTGTCATGGGGTAAGACAAAAAGATTAAAAGAGGGGAGCTGTTTCTGACCTAGGGTTGTCTCTTACTGTATCTGCATATTTGATCTAGAACAGCAGTTCTCAACCTGTGGGTCGAGACCCCTTTGGGGGTCAAACGACCTTTTCACAGGGGTCGCCTAAGACCATCGGAAAACACATATATAATTACATATTGTTTTTGTGATTAATCACTATGCTTTAATTATGTTCAATTTGTAACAATGAAATCGGGGGTCACCACAACATGAGAAACTGTATTAAAGGGTCGCGGCATTAGGAAGATTGAGAACCACTGATCTAGAATGAGGTATATTAGTGAAATGGAAAAACAGAATTATGATTGCTAAGCTATTAATAAAAGTTCAGTGGTATGTAATACCTTAATTTCAAAATACAATCAACTCGTATCATTCTAAGTTATTCCCTTCCTATTAAAAATCAGTTGTTTTAATTCTGGATTTATGTTTTCTAATTTTCTTTTTCAGTTACCCTGCAGTTTGTGACTTTTTGCGGAATAATAATTTGTTATCGATAATCAGAGCCCATGAAGCCCAAGATGCTGGGTAGGTTATATTAAAACTGTACCAAATATCAATGCAGAGTTTTTGCCTTTAATATCAGGACAGATGGGCTGTCATCTCTCTTCCAGGTATCGAATGTACAGGAAGAGCCAAACAACAGGCTTTCCATCACTCATTACAATTTTCTCTGCCCCCAATTACCTAGATGTCTATAACAATAAAGGTAAAGGAGTCCAGCGATATTTGAGTTTGAATTTGTGAGTAAATGTGAGCTCTATTTTAACATATATGTGTATGCGTTTTTTTAATATGTATAAATTTTAAATAAGGAAAAGGTTTTAATTGAAATAAAGGCAAGAAACTTAGAATTTAGGCTCTTGCTTGGTTTCCATCTCTTAAGCCAAGCAAGAGCCTAAATTCTGATTTCTGGGCCTTTATTGAGGTGTTTGAGAGTATAAATACCGATCATAACAGGTGTGATTTGTGCTACTGAATCAAAATATAAGAAGAATAAATCATTCCAGGTTCAGGTTAGAACCGTCAGCATTAATTATTGGTTTCAGTGAATTTAATTTATTTATAACATTATCTTAATAAAATACTACCATTTGGTGTTTTAATGTTTGTGTATTATTAACCTGCCTTTGCTCTGGTTGAAGAATGGTATAGGTAGAATGAATACTATACCAAAGTGAAAAAAAAATCTTAACTTTAGTCCAAGCCTTTCCAGAAACTAATATAATAAATAGTATGCATGTTGATCTTTTGTAAGTAGCCAAAAATTTTATTTTAAACAAATATGTCAAGCACTCAGAAAAGGATTCAGAAAATAAATTACATAACCAACAGCTAACAACAATCCACCTTTGTTAACTCTGCACATTTTGTGTTAATTGCTTCCAATTTTTTAAAGAAATAAAATATAACAAAACCAGTTGAAATTCTTTGCATAAATCTCACATCCCATTTCTCTCTCCTGAAGTTGATGTTTATCATTCCCATGAATTTCTTTTTACCACACACACACATATGTATGTATCACTATGCAATATAAAGTAGGGTTTTGTGTGCTTTTAAATTATGTAAGTACTCTATAACTTTGAATATATCATCCTTCAGCTTGCTTTCTTTTCATACTGTTTTGCCCTCAAATGTATACAAGTAATGAACCCCCATGTATCCATATCCCAGCTTCAACAATGACCAGTTATGGCTTCATGTACTTCATTAAAACCCGTTCCCATGTCCTCTCACTCCTCTGAATTACTACAAGGCAAAACAGATATGCAATTTCATCTGTAAAAATTGTCATATGTATCTCTAAAAGGTAAAGACAGCCCTAACCGGTTTGGCTCATTGGATAGAGCATCAGCCTGTGAACTGAAAGGTCCCAGGTTCGATTCTGGTCAAGGGCAGGTACCTTGGTTGCGGGCACATCCCCAGTAGGGAGTGTGCAGGAGGCAGCTGATCGATGTTTCTCTCTCAGCGATGTTTCTAACTCTCTGTAAAAAATCTCCCTTCCTCTCTGTAAAAAATCAATAAAATATATTTTAAAAAGAAAATAAAATAAATAAAGACACTTTTTAAAAAACCAACACTGTATTTTAGATCTTCCATGTAGATGTGGAGCTCTATTCTGTCATTTTAATTGTAATGCAAAATTTGATTTCTTTAACCATTGGATTGATTCTACATTTTCATAAAAAACAGTGAACATTCTTGTAAAAAAGAAATAATAAATAAATAAATAAATAAATAAATAAGTAGTGCCACTTTAGGTAAGTCACATAATCTCTCTAAACTTCAGTTTCCCATATAGAAAAAGAGGATTAGCCATCCACATGCCTTTCAGCACAGAAATTCTACTTCTGAAACTTTATCCTTTTAAAGTCTTTTTAATTTTATTTAACTTTTATGAGTCATAGTTCCTTGTATCAGGGCTGTGGTTCACCTAAAAACGTCATGCCTCTGTAACTATTTTGTTGTTTATAAAGTATGACTATAAAATAATATAACTTGTAAACAAACATTCCAGAATGTATATATTCAAGTGAGTATTGTCCCTTGAAAGTAGTTGCCTGGGGAGGCTATACACTTATTCCAACAATGCTGCCATTGTTCAAACATTTTTGGAACTCCTCTTTTGGCATTGCCTTCAGCGTCTGCGACACATTCTTTTGATAATATCCACAATGATGGGAAATCTTCGTCCTTTGAGGGTGGATTTGATTTTTGGAACAGCCAAAAGTCATTCGGAGTGCAGACTGATGAGTAAGGTGAGTGTTCAAGTTAGTCGATACCATTTGGGGTCAGAAACAAGGTATGATTATAAGGTAATAAGACTGGTTTTCTTTGTGTTGCTTATAAAATGGCTCTGGAGGCAATTCCCAAAAAGGAGTTCCAAAAACGTTTTGAGTAATGGCAGCATCTTCGAATTAAAAATACCGTAAGGCAGCAAAGTGTGTTGAAAGAGGCACTAAGCTAGGAGTCAGAAGTTCTAGGCTAGTCCTGCTTCATTTTAAATTAACAGTTAACAAGATAACTTCACTTTGCATTTAAGTTTACTTCACACTGAACAACACTTCCCTGAGCCTCAGTTTATCTTTATAATATCTGTCAAATAGGGTTGTTGAAGATAGGTTGGAATAATAAAAATGAAATTAAAATCATCAGACTGTAAATTGCTATAATACTATAGCATTTTACTGTTATTGTGTCTGGTGTGATTACATCAAAGGACCACACTCACCTGATATATAAGGTCTGTGTGTTTGTAGTTGGTGGTTTCTTAAGTCTCATTACTTTATAGTCATACTTTGTATATGCATTTGGAGAGAGAACTTTAAAAGAGGTCCACAATATATTTACCATTTACTCTATTTAAAAATAAACTATGAAATGGCACATCTCATTGAAATTGGATTTGGATCAATCATCTATCAGTATATCCTTCAATGACTTGCTGTCCATTTTTAAAAAGCAATTTTTTAGACTTAAGTTCTTTCCCAGCCTTGTTTTATTTTTACTTCTTATCATTCTTTTCTGGGTTTTAGGTGTCCTACTGTGTCTTGCTTCTCCCTAATTCCATTTTTAATTCTTCCCCCTCCCCCCCTAATAATTCCAACATATAGCAGATTGGTTTTGTTCTTGTCTCTTCCCTTATGAATGGTATGCACTGCTTGTGTTGTTAAACTTCCTCAAGGACACTTAGTGGTTCTGGTCTTCATATTTGTGAAGACTTTACCTTCTCACTCCTTTTTTTTTTACCTTACTATTAAGAACATTGATTGCCCAATGGGTTTATCATATGGTAAGCTGAAACATGCCACCTAAAGCAGCAATCACTACTAACTGCCAGCTCACTTTTTGCTTCATTCTAATTTTGTTCTGTTCTTGGTTATTACTTTAGTAAACTTTTAAAGTCACAATTCATTCTACCTGAGTTTTCTGTCCACTTTGATATAATCGGTAATCTTATCTTGAAACAATCTTATTTCCCTTGGTTGTTTCTTAAGCATTTTTTTAGGTAAAAGGCAAAAAATGTGGCACCTGAAATAACCTGTGGTGACACTCAGTTACTCCCTGTACAAGTGCCTCTTTTCTTGAAAAAGGCAACTATTCTTTCTTCTACTGTGGTGTTTCTTTCTTGAATATTCTTTAGACTTAATTGGTATCCATAGGTATTTCTTAGCTCCACTGGTTATATGAAAGACCCTTAAGTCATGATTTTTAAAGATTTCTATTTCTATTTTTTGTGTCCATTGGAAACATACCCTAAATCAGTTTTTAAGGTCTAATTTTAATTATCCACTGTTGAGACCTACCTCCCACCCCTTTTCCTGTGTAGACTGAGGCAATTATTGAGTAATTGTATATTCATGTAACCTAAATAAAATACATATACATGAAAATAATGGAACATGTACATTGTAGTCAGTGTTAGGTTTTTAAGAGCTAGAGATTCTGTGTTCATGTATTTTTCTTTATAATCTACGGTGTACATTTTAGACATTCAGTAACGTAAATTTGAGAACACTTGGCTATTCTATAATAAGGAAAGAAACAGGAACCAGGAGATGACGTATATCTGTCGTTTCTAGAGAGCTGTTATACCCTATTCTATTTATGATCACAGTAAGAATAATACAAACGACATTACATTGCTGATGAAGATGAAGGAATTGGATATTAAAACTTTTCAAATATAAAAAAATTAGTTTGATACCAAAGTATATGTACAAATTTATGAGCTGGTTAATATTAAACACTTACAGAATCTAGCAATATACTGACTTATATAGGAAAGATGGGCACTTTTTATCCACTTTATTGTATGTAGAGATTATTGAATCTACTTTTGAACCTTGTAAATTATTCTGCTATGTTTATAAACTCCCAGAGAATTTATAAAATCTTTGGCTCTGGCTAATGGCAAGCAAAACAGGCTGTGTCCATTTAGTGAGAACTGTTTGCCCTCAAAGGAGAGTTGCAGTTGTATCTACTTTGAATATCTATCTCTATACTAATAAAAGGGTAATAAGCTAATTAGACCGGACATCTTCCAGATGTCCTTCCGGACAAAGCCACAGTGGTGGGGGGCGAGGCAGAGGCAGTTAGGGGTGATCAGGCAGTCAGGCAAAGCAGTTAGGGGTGATCAGGCCGGCAGGGGAGAGTAGCTGGGGAGATCAGGCCAGTAGGGGAGAGCGGTTAGGGGCAATCAGGCTGGCAGGGGAGAGCGGTTAGGGGCGAGCAGGCAGGCAGGCAGAGCGGTTAGGGGCGATCAGGCCAGCAGGGGAGAGCGGTTAGGAGCCAGCGGTCCTCGATTGCGAGAGGGATGTCCAGCAGTCAGACAGGCTAAGGATGTCCGACTGCAGCTTAGGTGAGTGGGCCTAAGCCTCAGTCAGACATCCCCCAAGGGCTACTGAGCTGCCAGAGGGATGTCTGACTGCCAGCTGGCAGGTGGACATCCCCCGAGGGGTCCCAGACTGCGAGAAGGCACAGGCCGGGCTGAGGGATCCCCACTCCCCTAAGTGCACGAATTTTCATGCACTGGGCCTCTAGTAAAGGGACATTATGAAATTATGGCAAATTTTTCTCAGGTGGAACCTGAGATTTCTATAGGTAGTTACTGTGCAGTGACTCTGAAGTTTCAGAGCTTAGTTTCTTTTGTACTCTTAAAATATGAGCTCAAGCCCTAACCGGTTTGGCTCAGTGGATAGAGCATCGGCCTGGGGACTGAAGGGTCCCCGGTTTGATTCCGGTCAAGGGCATGTAACTTGGTTGCGGGCACATCCCCAGTAGAGGGTGTGCAGGAGGCAGCTGATCGATGTTTCTCACTCATGGATGTTTCTAACTCTCTATCCCTCTCCCTTCCTCTCTGTAAAAAAATCAATAAGAAATATATTTTTAAATAAATAAGTAAATAAATAAAATATGAGCTCTTCATGTAACTTTGTTCCTTGGGATTATTCTTAAAAGAATGAACTATATAGCCCTAGCGAGTTTGACTCAGTGGATAGTGTTGGCCTGTGGATAGTGAAGAGTCCTGTCAAGGGCTCGTACCAGGCTCTATCCCTGGCTTTGGTTAATCCCCGGCCTTGGTCTTGGTGTTTCTCTCTCTCTCTCTTTCTCCCCCTCCCTTACACTCTTTCTAAAGATCAAAGGAAAAATACCCTTGGGTGAGTTTTTACAAAAAATAATAATAATAATAAAAATAAGCATAGCCATTAAAAAAAAAAGAATGAACTATATATAAAGTGCTTTAAGATTTTCCATCTGCCCTTAAATACTAAGTTCTAAATTTACAAATGGAAAATAAGTTATTGAATTCTGTGTAGTAAATGCACAACTGTACAATGCATATTAGTTGCCATGTCATGTACCTCTGTGCCAGATTTTCTTGCTTTTTACCTTTTTAGCTGCTGTGTTAAAATATGAAAACAATGTCATGAATATCAGGCAGTTTAACTGTTCTCCACATCCCTACTGGCTTCCAAACTTTATGGATGTTTTCACGTGGTCTTTGCCTTTTGTTGGGGAAAAAGGTAAGAGAACTAAAGCATCTGGACTATCAGTTATCTTAGCATACTTTTATATTTGCATGAGCCCCTGATGGTTCAGAAATGTTTTTTAAAAGTTATCAAAATGCTTTCTAATTTTCTTTGTTTTTTAATAAAGATTTTAAAATGACACGTAATTGGTTTTTAAATTACAATTCTAGTTGATTATGCTTTTCTTTTTATACATATCCACTTAATGTAGCTGTCCTACTGTGATCAAGATGTTAAAATAACATGTCATTATACCATTCCTTCAGTGATTTCTTCAGTGATAAAAGAGATTTAAATAGGAAATATTGCCCTTAGAACTTTATTTGTGCACCTATACAAAAAAAAAAACTATGCAAATATAAATAAGCCTGTTGGATATAGGCCTGGCCTGGTGGCATAACTTCTTTGCAAAATGGGAGGAAGTCTTGTCATGTGCATATCAGTGAAGGAAATGGCTCTGGATAGTAGTCTAATGAAATCATGTAATTATGCAATAGAATCTTCAAAGACTCCAGACTTTTACTGGAACAAGTAATCTCCCCAAATTGTATATAAACCAGGAGGTTTACGTATAATGCTACTCTGTAGCTAACTCTTAATAGCCTAATGACCAGTCATTTTTATTTATGTTTGACAAGTATGTTTATTTAGATATCCACATCATTTTGGAAAAGTATCTTATTAATTATTTAAATTTGGGTTTTTTTTTAATGAATTTATTGTTTCTAAAATCAGGGCTATTTTGCTTTATCTTATAGTCACAGAGATGCTGGTTAACATTCTCAACATATGCTCTGATGAGGAGTTGAGTTCCGACGATGAAGCTGAAGGTAAACTTGCCTTTTCCTCATTTGAACTAGAAATGAAATTTTGGTTTTGGTTTGAATTTGTTTTGAATAATTTTTTTCTTATTAAAAAAGATTTGTATTCAATATAAGAAACTGAAGAATATAGGAAGCCACAAATAAAGAAAAAAAGTCACCTGTAATCTTATCTCATTTCCACTGATAATATCTTGGTTGTATATACTGTGTTAGCTTTTATCTGTGCATATATTTTTGTCTACTTCTCTTTTTCCTTTTTAACAGAAATGAGGTCATGTGATAGTATCATGACATTTACTTTTTTTATAAATCAATTTTTAATGGTTACATAGTTGTCAATGTCAATTCTTTGTTTTAACCAATCCCCTGCTGTTGGATATTGGATATTTTTTAAGCCCATAATTTTGAACTCTTACAGATAGACCTTACAGAATGTTGCACATTCTGTCAGCAACCAACATTTGTCACATGCTTGGTTTGTGTCAAGTACTGTTTAGATCCTTGCTTTCAATAAATTTATATTCTAGTGGAGGGAAGACAAACAATAAATATGTCAGATGTTGATCTGTGGTATGAAAGGAAAGAAAGCAATATTAGGATATGAACAATAACATTTTCTTAATTATTTCCATAGGATAAATTTCTAGAAATTTAGTATCTGTGTCAATTAGTACTTAAAATTTTAAATGGGATACAGATAACCTCTAGAGGGGATGTACCAGTTTACATTTCCTGTGTGACGCATAGTTCACAGGGCTTTCCTCAATACTGTTCATTATACTTTTTATAGTCTGGTGTTTTTTAAATTTTAATTTGTATTTTTATCATGATTAATGAACTTTTTTTCTTCTGTTTATTGACCATGTTTACCTCTCTTGTGAATTATCAGTTCATACCTTTTCCCCATTTTTCTACTGAATTATGTGAATATTTGCTTGTTTTTCTTCTTCTTGGCCTATGAGGGATCTTAATATAGTAGTTTTGTTGCATGTGTAGCCAAGTATTTTTTTCCTAGTGTATTGTGGGAGGTTTGATTTTATTTTTTATTTGTTTGTTTGTTTATATTGGTCTCAGAGAGAGAAACATCACGACACATCGATTGGTTGCCTCCAGTAAGTGCCCCAACAGAGGATCAAACCTGAAACTTACATATGTGCCCTGACTGGGAATCAAACCCACAACATTTTGGTGTATGGGATGTTGCTCCAACTGAGCCACACTGGCCAAGGCACAGGGAGATTGGATTTTAAAAGTAAGGTCCTAACTTATCTGAGAATCCAGAAGATTCAGGAAGGATGGTGGCACCTGAGCACAAACCTCTGGCTGTCTCAGTCTCTCCAAGCTCTGTGCTAAGGTGATTCAACTATTATGATAAACTCTGTAGAGTGGAGAAAGCCTAGCTTACTTAGAGCATACAGAGGAGAGTCCTGCACATACTTATGCTTCAGATTCCATGTGGAAGGTGCAGAGCAGATAGTGCAAAGCTTGTGAGTACTTTTACCTATGGGATAGAAGACGGCTATAAGGAAACCAGTTCTTGAGCAAAAAGTGCAGCCAAGTAAAAATTAAAACAAAGCAAAATGAATATAAAGAAAACAACACCTAGGCTGCACATCATAGTAAAAGTGCTTCAGATGAAAGAAAAAATCTTTAGGCAGCCAGCAGAAAGATTTCTTGTAAAAGAGAACAATTTAAGCTGACAATAGAAGCAGGAAACAATGTAATAACATATTCAAAGTACTGAAATAGAATAATTGGTAACTTAGGATTCTACATCTAGTAGAAATACCCTTCAAGAATGAAGAGGAGCCCTAGCTGGTTTGGTTCAGTGGATAGAGCGTCAGTCTGTGGACTGAAGGGTCCCAGGTTTGATTCCAGCCAAGGGCACATGCCTGAGTTGTGGGCTCGATCCCCAGTAGGGGGCATGCAGGAGGCAGCTGATCAATGATTCTCTCTCATCATTGATGTTTCTATCTCTCCTTCTCCCTTCCTCTCTGAAATCAATAAAAATATATTTAAAAAAAGAACGAAGAGGAAATAAACATTTTCAGATATTCTTCCATTAAAACATTTACTATAAAAATTACCAGGAGACCCACACTAAATGAAATTCTAATGAATATTATTTGAGCAGAAGAAAAATACCAGATGGAAGCTTTGAGATTCTGGAATAAAGAGTAAAAATAGAAAATATGTGGGTAAATCAAAGGACTATAGACTTTACTAAACAATAATAATAATGTTTTATTGGATTTAAAAGATAGAATTAAAATAGGTAACAATAATAGTTGGCAGTGGAATAAATATTGGTAAAGTTTGTGAATGATATATATATGTATATATGTACACGTACATATATACATATATATATACATATATACATACATATATACTAGAGGCCCAATACACGAAATTCATGCAAGAGTAGGCCTTCACAGCCGCAGCGACTGTCTTGATCCCTCCCTCAGAGCCGAGGGCAGCTGCCTCGATCCTGTGGCTACAGCCCCAGCTTTGTCTGGGAGGACATCCAGTCTAATTAGCATATTATACTTTTACTAGAGGCCTGGTGCACAAAAATTGTGCACTCGGGGGGGGGAGAGGGGGTCCCACAGCCTGAACTCTCTCACAGTTGGGACCCCCTCCGGAGAAACAACCGCCAGGCTAAAGCGTGTTCGAGGTAGGAGAGGGCTGGGCCACTTCGTGGAGCGTCCCCTAATTGGCTCAGACATCGGTCCAATTGGGGATTGGACTCCCCACTCCCGGCT